TCAATCTACATTCCTAAGCCAATATAAATAACATCTGAATCATAAAATTTTGTACTTTTATTGTATATATTTGTTACATTTTGTCACATGCCTTGATATCTTAATAGAGCAAGTATGCCCTCACTGTTCCAGCTCAAGCGTCCCCAGTTCCTGCACAAGAACTCTGCAACATGAATCCTAGGAGATGCTCATCAGGGTCCACTGAAAATCCTTTTGGAGGGCTGGGGTGCAGTTCAGTTGTAAAGTCCTTGCCTAGCCTGCACAAAACCCTGGATTCAATCTGCAGCAAATTTATTATAAAACCAGATCTAATAGTGTAATGACACACACCTGTAATCTCTGTACTTGGGAGGTAGAGGCAGGAAGATCAGGAGTTATCCTTGGCTACACTGCAAGTCAGAGGCCAGTCTGGACTACATGAGACCCTGTCTCAAAACAAAATCTAAAACCTAAAAAAAAAACCAAAACCCTCCAAAATACAGGCATGGTATCAAATACCTGTAAATACCTGTAATCCCAGGAATCAAGAGGCTGAGGCAAGATGACAATGTATCTCAGGCATGCCTGGGATACATACTGAGACCATGTCTCAATAAAACAAAACTAAATCCTCTTAGGAAACTGGTGAGATGATGATAGCTTGGTGAATTTATCTCTTTCCAATACTGAGTCTGTTTGTTCCTCCACCTACTCAGATTTTCTGTAAATAATTAAAGTTTAGAGTTTTGAACATAAAGGATTTACACATTTGTTACCAGGGTATATTACTGGGAAATTGTTGCAACGTAAATGAAAATTTTTTTTTTCAGTCACACTTTTTTTTTGGTCTTTTTGAAGCAGGGTCTTCCTGTGGCCCCAGCTGTCCTGGAACTCACTATGTAGACCAGGCTGGCCTTGAACTCACAGAGATCCTCCTGCCTCTGCCTCCCAAGTGCTGTGACTACAGGCGTGCACCACCACGCCAAGCTTATCAGTCACACCTTTCTAACTGGAAAACCAGGAAACCTGATTTTGTGTCCTACTGTCTTATTACACAACTGCAATTCCAGCACTGGGGAGGCAGACGCTAGAGGACCAAGGAGTTCAAGATCATCTTCAGCCATATGAGTTTGAGACCAGACTGGGCTATGTGAGGTCTACCAGGCCTTAAAAATGAAAGTTACCTGAACTGTACAAAACCGTGGCTGCACAGAAATTATTTTGAAGATATGAGTCGATCTTAGCTCTAAGATAATACAAGAAAAAAGTAGTTTCTATTATTACTCAAGAACCAATTTTTAATGGAAAAGCAGAAAAAAATGGTGTCAAAATCCACATGGGGCATGTAACTTGAAGGGGAGACGCAGTTCTGGCAGCTACTTCTCCCCATCCTGGCAGTCCTCTTTAGTCCTTTTCACAGCCAGCAGTTCAGAGCACTTTCCTGAGAGCAAGTGTTACTGACTTCTGCCGCTCTGTCTAGATCTATGACACAATTTAGTCAATCACAAGATAAGTCAGAAAAGAGAGTATTAACTTACCTCTACACAAAATTTAAAATGAATGCCTTGGGAATCATAAAATGAAATAATTCGGTTAGAGAGTGTCACAGTAATGAGAGACCAGTGGACTTCCAGATGAATAGGAATCAACAGAAGACTCTTTTTAAACAAATCCACCTGATTAAGAGAAAGAAAAGGAGCCATCACCAAAGAACCAGCAAAAAACAGCTTTCATCTATTGACCTTGGACCTGTTGAAGGTCATAAAACTAGGAAGAAGTGGGGAAGCCTGTAACTGCTAAGCTAAAATACTCAGCAGCAAGAAAAAGAAAGTACTATTTTTTCATTTAATCTACAAAAACTTTTACCAACTGATATGAATTAGCACCATTTTCAGAAGTTTATTTATTATTGTGTGTGAGTGCACGCAATGCACGCAACACGGTATGTATGTGTTGGTACACTAGGAGGTCAGAGGACAACTTTGTGGAGGCATTTTTTTCCTTCTGCCTTTATTCCATTCTGGTTTTTTTGTTTATAAACAGGACTAGGGATCAAATCCAGGGCCTACCACATGTTAGGTATAGTATTACAAAATAGAAGCAAAAGTTAAAAAAATAATAAAAACAACCCGGTTTAGTGGCACACAGCTTAAATCAGTGCACTTGGAAGGCAGAGGCAGGGCAGACCTCTATGCCTGAGGGTAGCCTAGTCTACATAGTAGGTTCCAGGCCAACCAGGGCTATCCCCCCCAAAAAACCATTTAGCTGGATGTGGTGGCCGCTCGCCTTTAGTCCCAGCACTAGGGAGGCAGAGGCATTCGGATCTCTGTGAGTCCCAGGCCAGGCTGGTCTACATTGTGAGTTCTAGGCCAGCTGGGGCTACAGGGAGATCCTATCTCAAAAAGACTATATACAT